ACAAAAAGATAAAGAAGACGACACTACCCATGTAAATATTTTTTGCCTCAAAACGCGTCTGAAACGCGTTTCATTTGCGTGTGAAACGCTAAGAGTGAACGCGTTTGAACGCGTCCCCAGTGAAACAAACGAAGCGTTTAAACGCGATTTATTTTAGAAACGCGTGTGAATGCGCTTATAGCTTGACTTGCGTTCAAACGCATTTTTAGCGAAAACGCGTCCCAGATGAAACATTTAATGCGTCTGGACGCGTTTCATAAAAAAACTAAAAATTTTGAAAAAAAATATGATAATCCATTTCAGATTCGAACTGAGTTGCCACCATCAATATTTTTTGATGGTCTTAGCCTTCCCTGGCAAATGGATTAGATTTTACCTTAAGCGACGACGATCAGATTTGAACAGATGAACCAGTGATTAGAAGTCGTTCATACATACCGCTGAGTTATACTAACTCGAAATCTTGTCTTATTCAAAATAAAATATATTTGAAGACGAATTTCATCGGTTAAATACTTTATTTTAACAAGATGTATTTTTTTCGAATTCAAGAGTCTTAACACGTAAGATGACTTTTCAGTTATTTTTTTAAATAAGTTTTTTATTTTTTTAATAAAATAACATCTTTTTTTATCATCTACTACACATAAAAAATATTACGATCTTTTTTGTTGCACTGGTAATACGATAAATAATTTTATCGAAAAATTTAATGAATAGATAATTATTGACAACCAATTTAGTAGAAACATATGATGAAAAGTTACTAATAATATTATTTAAATAGTAGTATTTAACAATATTCTGAAAGGGCATTGCATAGCTGGAAACTATTACAATATTATCTAACTATTTTTCTTACAAACTTTAGAGAAATATGGACTGTTCACCGTATGTTTAATTAAATTTTGTCTATTTTAACGTCATCTCGACATTCTTTATTAGAAGTCTAATGAAGTTTAGATGAATAAAATACATGTAAGCTGATGATTTTGATTATGCAGTTAACTCTTCTAGAGCAGCAATTTTTGGGTAAAATCGCGTCCGATACACAAAAAATAAACACTTTCAAAGGCACTCGAAAATATGATTGCGTCCTAACGCGAGCGAAAAACATATTTAAGACACGTTTGAACGCAGTTCGTAAACAAAATTTTTTTAAACGCATTAAATTTTTTTCAGAAACGTGTCGGAACGCGGTTCATTTTTTTCTGATTGCGTTTAAACGCCTTGTATAGAAAACCTGCGTCCAGACGCGTTTCAAAATTTTTTCTAACTGCGTCTCAACGCTTCTCATATTACACCACGTTTGAACGCGTTCAGTCAAACTCTTATTAAACACGTACAAACGCAATTTCAATATGAAACGCGTTGAGACGCGGTTCATAGTTTTTTTACAATTGCGTTTCAACACGTTGCATACAAAAACTGCGTTCGGACGCGTTTCAAAAGTTTTCTAACTGCGTCTCAACGCGTTTCATATTAAAAATGCATTTGAATGCGTTGTGAAACCGTTTTTAACTGCGTCTAGACGCGTTTTGTTGTGAAACCGCGTTTCAACGCATCGATCTTGCGTTTCGTGATTACATGGGTAAGAATACAAATCATAGAAGTTCTTTAAGTAATGCTGTCGTACTTTCCCGTCAAGTGCATAATGAAAAAATGACCATTAAAATGCATTATTGTCTATAACTCGATCATTTTGAATATTAAAATGTAGATTTTCAAAAGAATAATGGTGATATGGTCGTTAAAATGCATTCTGATTTGAAAAGGAACCATTTCGATCATTTTCATAATCATAGACTCTTTTTTTCGGAATCTAGACCTGTTTTAAAAAGTACTTAAAGTTTCTAATAATTATATAGATCATAAATCTTCGCTTATCAAATGTTTTTTACATTACAGTTTCGAACAGTTCTCCAAGATGACACCTTAAACATCAATAAAAATATTAAGTAAGCGTGGATGTGCATAGAATGAGACGAATATATTGTAGGTGAAAAAAAAAGACAACCACACCTACCCTTTCTATATGATTAAATCTTCCTGAGAAAACAGTATGTACAATTTATGACACATTTCTCTAGCAATACTATAGACATTTATGCACACCCCATTCTCTGGAATAGGTTTGTAAACAAATTATTCTCGCGTTTTATATGAGACTGTTGATAATAACATACATTTACGGATATTTATATGAGCTTGTTAATTTATGACTTTTTTTTATCAAAATTTTCTAATATATTTGCCTGATTCTCTCTGTTAAAATACTTTTGTGGTAATTGATCATTTAATTATTTAGTGCACATCTTGACATTATTTTTTTGCAATAACATAATACATATCTTTGTATATATCACTAAGTGACGCAATCATATCCTATCTAGAATATTGTGTTCTCTTTGAGTTTACTCTCTTTTTAGAAAAAGCTGTTAGCGCAATCTCTGTAGAACTAAAATGTGAAACACGATCGAGCTACTGACTTATATTGTAAATGACAAAGTACTATTGTGTATATCACAGTCTGTGATAGAGAAGGGAAAGAGAGTATGTTACTAAAGCATCTGTGATGGTGTGGGTGTGGGTAGGGTATGGGTGTGGGTATGGATGTGGATGTAGGTGTGGGTGGGTGGGGTGGGTGTGAGTGTGGCTGTGGCTGTTGCTGTGTGGGTATGGGTGTGTGGGTATAGGTATGGATTTTGATATCTTTCATCCACACCCACACCCACCCCCGCACCCCCACACACCCCACACCCACATCCACACCCGCACCCACCCCACACACCCACACCCACATCCAAAAAAAATTTTTTTCCCCGGCGACCTAGGGTGGTCCTCTCGTGGACCCTCTCTTAAGATACAAACAAAATCATATCACAATGCTTATTCTAATCATTTTAAAATTAATTTTTTTGGTTTTAGTTAAGAACATTTATTTTTCTATTTAACTTAATTTTCTTTAAAAATCCATGTTAGAAAGTAGCTGTTTACACTTATTAACAATATATTATCGAATTTTTCAAAACTATCAATTTTTTCTATAGTTTAGATCTTGTAAATCTTTTTTCTAAGATCTCATCCAACAGTGTATTTTCAAAAAGGATCCCTATATATGAAAAAAAATTAAGAATAATTAGAGACTATTAATAATCTTTCTGTCAATAAAATATTATTTCAATTTGTGTTACCGCTATTTGAATAGGAAGTCAATAATCATGTCATCTATAATAACGGCACTTCTTGTTGCACTTTTCTTCATATATAGTCGCTTTTTATCTGAGATCAGAACAACTGAGAATCTAGTGTAGATCATCCAACAACATTATTAAAGTGTTGAATTTTAACCAAAGGAAAAGAAAAAAATTCTATTGGTTTTATTATTAATAAACACAAAAGAAAAGTGTTCAAAACTGAAATTAGTCTAAAGCCAGTTATGAAAAACAATTTTCTTTTTCGTTCTCTCTCAAGCACGCCTTAAATATAAAACTTATATATATCAATAAAACTCTACTCTGCATTTTTTAATCGAACCAAATTTATGAATTTTTCAATACTAACTAAAGCTTAAATCCAATATTATTTTCAGAGGTCAGAAAGAAAAATAAACTTTGTATCTATTCAGTGATTGTGATTTCAGATATTCATTTCTTTTCTTCCTCTTTTGGATATGAGCACGGTAGTTTGACAATGTTTATCTCAGAACATGCTGAGAAGAGAATGAAGATATATTGTATCCAATAAAATTAGACTGAACATTAATGTTATTTGTTTTCTTCGATGAGGTCATATAGTATGTAGTCCATAGCCCGATGAATCATCAGATCAATATCAAACATACATTATGGGGGAGCCAAATATCTTGACACTTGCTGGGTCGGAAATTCAAAATTTTTCAGTTTAAGTAGCACAAAGAGACTATTCTGTGGTTGGTTTGTTAGGCCTAAGTGCAAGTTCGAAAATTTATATTCAATAGAACAACATACACGAAAAAATTTCGCTACAATGGTGTAGATAAATCGTGTTTTGCCATTACAGGCCGCTTTTTAATAAAAAACTAGCAATACAGTTCGATAGAAAAAAATTTTCTCTACAATCTGGAATCAAAATTATATCTAGCCCATTTCAAAAATCTAAAGCACCAATCCGTGAACATTTGCTATTGATTCGCTTTTTTCATTATTCTTTGTCCGATAAGAGATCGTACTAATGTATAGTACTGCTTTTTTGACTGACTGTAATCAAGTCAGACAAAGGAAAAAAAAGAATATATATCAGCGCTTTCAAAAAAGTGTCACAACGATTAGAAGTAAACATGAATCGTACCGACATTCATCTACTCGATCTACCTGTTGAGATATTACTAAAGATCTTACAAGGATTGAACAATATGGATGTTCTCTATTCATTAATCGGAGTTGAAGAACTTGATTTCCTAGCACAAAATGAAATTTTTACAAACACTCTCAATTTTGTGTTTACCGATAATGGAGCTAACTTTTCAATGGATGAAACAATGCTAAATCGATTTTGTAAGGAGATATTATCTCGAATTCAATACAATGTTAAATGTCTTTATTTGGAAACAACAACTATGGATCATATTTTACGTGCTGGCGTTTATCCAAATCTTACTGAACTCAAAATATTCAAATTTCATGCATATTTGTTTTCACACTTTTGTACAGGTAAATAACTTAGGAATTTATTTATCTAAATAAAAAATAGAAGATTAGGATATTTATTTGTATTTTGTGTTTAGATGAATTACTTTTCCGATACAACTTCAAAAAACAAATTACAGATCTCACACTGACTTATCACAGTAGTGAAGTAGGAACTATAGATCAGACGACAAGTGTATATATAAAATTTTTTGATTTCTTTGAAAATTTAAACTGTTTAAGCTGTATTGGACCATCTTTTACTCAAAATCCAGTTTGATCATTTGTTGATTTACCATCAAATACGTTTGTTTCTTCAAATCTAACTAAATTATGTATCACTGTGATAGTTTTGCAGATTGTCTTCGATTACTTGATGGTCGTCTTAATCAATTATCTATATCTATTGTTATTATCGTTAATGTCAAAGATTTTTCACCAATGGAATTCAACTCAGTAAGTTGCGAAGATCCAATATTGTTTGTTTTATGAGCAATTGACTTTTATAATCGATACATGCATATTTTTTCGATAGAATAAAGTACTTAATATAGAAAGGTTTGTTTTGATTAGAGAACTGCAGAATCAACGGTTTTGGTCCTGATCCCGGCTAATATTTTTTGTATGGTACTGTTCCCGGTTCCGCATCAGTCTTTTATTAAAACTTTTTATTTATTTTGTTTTAATTGCGTCTCTGGAGAAAAACATCTATTGTGCTAATCTATGTGATTTTTTGAAAATATATATATGTATGTATATATAATTTAACGCCAATGACTTAAAGAAATTAGCAATGTCGGTATATCTTTATATGTATGAACTACATCTAAGAAAATAACAATTTTCTTTTTTACTTGAAATCTTTTGTGTTACATCTTTTATTTACAAAACGTTCACAGAACCCGCATCTTTCTTGCATAAATGCTAGATCAAAATGAATAGTTGTCAATCAATGTGTACTGAAGCATCACTTTAATAATATGATCATTTGGAATCTGCCGAAGAATGGCTAGTTTTATAAATATTCTTGAAGTTAGTCATTAGGTTGAAAAAGCTGGACTTGCATATTTGCACTATCATGACAATGATAAATAAAAAATCGACCTGTTGACTCTAACCGAAAAGAAAATTATAAATTCGAAAAAGTAGTGATTAATTTCTTGAACAAACGATGTCGCGGAACCAGAGCTACTTTGCAGTTCCCTACTGTTGATTTAATATGTAATAGAGAAATACTAAAGTATATCGATAAAGTTTTAATTAATATCATTTTTTCGTTGATTTATAATATCGTAATATAATTCATCGTGTCTTAATCTATTAAAAGTTTATATGTTTCATTTATTATTACCAAAAATTTTTCTACGTAATCGAGTGATTAAAAAGATTCATGAAAAATTTTAAAAATCTAATGTGACTCAGAATGTGTTTGTTGTTTGTTTAAGGAGAAAATTTAATATTTGCACTCTTATTACACAAAATACAAAGAAAGAGCTAATAGGTGTCCAGATACTTTTTGACCTACTGTATATGAGATTTTTTAAGTTCATGTAGATCCTACAATCAGGATGATTTTGATAATAGTAAAAACTTCTTTCCTTTTACCGATTTTTGCTACTCTCTCAAATCTTCTTTTTTTTCTGAAAAAAAATCTATTCTTTCTTTTACGTAAAATTTTTCATACGGTACTGTGGAACTACAGATTGAAGTCTCATTGCTTTATATTTGTTTTTATGTTGTTGATTCTCTCTATCTGTGAATAAAATTTGGTAAGAGACAAAATGGTGTCATTATATTTTTTTTATCGTTACAGTGACGTCCTCTATATCTGTTATCTCTCACAGTGTATACTATATTAAATATTTGTAAAGGCTCTGTTTCATTATTTCACTATTCAACATCAATATGGCTGTTCTACTCGCTTGGATAATTTGTCCGATTGTATTTGGAATTTGTTTTATTAGTCAAACAATTTATTTCATATACAAAATACTTCAATCTAGAAATACTGATTATTCAGGAAGTACACCAGTAAGTACTATTCATATGACAGATGGTGAAGCAACTTGTTGTATGGGTTGGGCATGGACATCATGTATAGATAAAAGAACAAATCGTATAACATTAAAAACATTTATTGCATGGTATATTGTTGCAACATGTGTTGATATAATTATTACAGTGATATTCTATCTTATTCTTTATCATTGGCATCGTATTTATGTTTAAATTTTATACCACATCGATAAATGGTTTTTAAAAATTCTTTCTTTTCTTTTCGGTTTTTCTTCATCTGTCATAATTTCATGAAGATTATTTGAGGAAATAAATGTTCAACTTTTCATCAGTTTTTTTAATTTTTTGAACAATATTTATATCTTAAATATTTCATGATTTAATTGTTTTCATGCATAAGATATATTATAATAAAAAGCATATTAAAAAAGAGGGATCAGATTCATCACTGTTACAAGGAAACAGAAGAAAAAGACTTTGTCATTGTTGTGATAAGATGATTATAAAAGTTTTTCGTCACACACAGCAATATTATCATTTAATGGTTCATCATCATCATTATTATTATCTAATGTTGTATTAATCATAACTAAATCATTATGTGTCATATTATTCATTGTAGTAGGAGATGAAATTCTTGATGAATTTATTGGTAACATAGGTTCATCATGAAATTTTTTATTACATTCAATAAGTTGAAGAATATCTTGAAGAGATATATTTTTATTTGATGTTGTTGTTATTGAATTATTATTATCACGATTAAATATAATAACATGAACATAGATTACATTAGGTAATTGTATTGGTATAGAAAAATAACATGTTATTGATGTATAGTCAATAAATTTTGATAAATTATTAGCATGTTTTAAATGATTATCTGGATGATTAAAAAATCGGTGTACATGATCATAAGCTTTTACACGATGCTTTTCACTAGGTAAGAAAAAATAGATAAATAGATTATAAGTTTTTGTAGTGTTTCTCAACATACGAATAATCTGTGGATATATCAAGAATATGTTTATTTGGATTGAAAATGTCTTGATCAAATGATGGATAATTTCTTGAATATGAAGCTGAAAATAAACATAATCAAGAATCGTTAAAAAAATTCCGAGACTAATTTGATTACTCTACTGAAAGAAACAAGTTTCTTTCTAGTTATAATTAGTGATAAATCATGAATTCATTATTAATGAATCTGAATCAAAACAAGTATCACGACTATAAAAATGAGTTGATTCACCAACGACAACAAAATTGAGAGAAGAATAGTCTATTGGCAAGATTTTATATTCATTTTCCTGGAACGTATCACTAGGTGTAACAATCACTAAAGTATATTATGTACATCTTCTGGTAAAAAAAACATCAACCGGATATTAAAAATTGATGGCAAGGTTTATTTTCGACTGTTGTCATTTGGCAACATGACAATACTATACCACATAGTAAGTATATCTAACGTAAAACTTGAATTCAGTTGTCGAAATATTTTATATGTGGAAACTTAAAAGTTAGACATTCAATTATTCAACAGTTCGTGTGAACACAGACATATCACACTATATCAATAACCTGTCGTACCACAAAGATATAGAAGGATGTCTGTTTTTGACAAGCAAACGAAGAATGATCCAAAGAACTGTTTAGTTTAATAAGAAATTGAAAAAAATTCTAACTCAAACTCATTGAGTGTGCCTGTTTCGTTCGACTCTAGCATGTAGTCAACCAACATTGCCAAAGTGTCTCCTTTGATATTCTCTGATATCATTACTCTAATATTGTACGACGTACTTTATATAAAACAATGAATGAATGAACGATCATGTAAACGACTCTATATGATCCTATTCTAGTCTTAAAATTAACTTACTTTCAGATAAATAAACACTTGTAACAACATCAAGATCATCATGCAAATTAGCTGAATGGATCATATGTGTCTATTTTGATAAAGTTATATGATTAACATTTTAAAAAGAAATACTTTATAAAATACATCTCATACTAATATAACATACTTGCAGACTATAACAAACATCTGTTTGTTCAAGTGGTATCAAGAAATCTCGACAAAATAATTCTTGAAGTAATTTACTCGCTAACCCTATAAGAAAACCAATTAACTATTTATTTTCTTGATGATGAAACAAAAAGTACAAATAATATTTACCTCACCAATCATTTTCTTCCAGATCATAATCATTCCAAAATTTTTCTGTTTCATCTTTATTTAAGTAAGAAAGTATTCGTTTTGGATACCATTTTGGGTGTGGGTGTTGTTCTTCGCTGTAGGCACACCGACACACCCACTCAAACCTACACCCACTCCCATAACTTAAAACATTAAGTATTATTATGTTCTTATTGCTTATCTTTTCTTTTGACACTAATGGGTTTGCTCTTGACTTTTTTACGACTTCTCATTAAAAAAATTTTGAATTGTTTTACAGAGATTTGAAAAATGTATTACCCCATAGCTTGAAGTTATTCAGTTCATAACATTAAAATAAAGCGATTGTTGTTATACATAGATGATTTCATTTTATTTGAAAAAAAAGATATTAACAAATGGCATTTTTAATCTTTACATCTTATTTTAAAACAGTTATCATCAGCATAGCATATAAATAAGAAACTTAGTTTTACGATGAATTAATGTTTTTTAGCTACTGTTGATAGGTATTATGTTTATGATGAACATTTAAAAAATCTGAAAAGATCAAAAATTCCATTAAATCATTATTATTTTTTGTCAAATAGAATGAAATTCTCTCTTCGATATAAACAATCTTTGCATTGATATATTAAGTAATTAAAATGAAAGCAGTTTGTTTTATGGAGTTTTATGTGTTTTATATTATTTTATGTTTTTAATATTTTCTGAGCGCTATTCATTATAGTATACGGATAAAAACACATGGTCATAATTAAGTTTTACTTTGAATCAATGTTTAAAACAAATTTTTATTAGTTGTGATTTAGAGAAAACGATGTGATAGATAGCAAATTTTAACGGAATCTGTCGGATTCCAAATATGTTGCATTTTATTTGAATCCAAAAACATTGAAAGAAATTCAGCAGATAGCGCAACAATATGAGATGATCTTCAGTAACTTTTAACAATCTGAGAAATTTAATGATAATCATCAGAACATGAGTTTCCAAGAATACAATTCATGGAAGAAGAACTATTATCACTTGTAAATATTTTGAGACATTAACTGCAATCTTCTAAGGAAAAAGATCGATCTTGGAATCTCGTGAAACATATATCTTCACTAATTTTGTTGAATTAGCTATCTTATTCAGTGGAGTTTATCAAGATTTGCAATATCGTCTTCCAGGAAACAAGTTAGATTTTTAAAATCAGTAGAAAAAACAAAAGGATTCGATACGACAGTTCTGGCAATCGATTCAAGACTTTAAAAAGTCTTTTTTTTACTAGACGACTTGTCCCATGAGATAGAATATGGGTAACCAATTTGCCATATGAGATGATTTTTCCGCCCAATTCCATTCCATGCAGAGTCGTGTTGAGAATCGCACTTAAGATGCCCGAAGCACGAGAAATCTTCACTGGGTTTTCGGAATCCTCAGATTGTTTGGTGACTTTTCAGAGTTTGAGATCAGTTGCCAGAAGCTCTGAAACCGTCTACAAATATAAATGTCCAACAGTACTTTTTCTTTGGATGAAGAAAATATTCGATTTCTCCTAGGGATTCAAAAGACTGAATTAAAATGGATGTTTTCATCAATGTAACTCAATGATTTTGATAAAAAAATTCCAATTGGCTGCATGTGCTTCTTTAAAATAATCCTTTTAATCGATGAATTTGCTATACATCAAAATCACATTTGGAAAATGTGAAGTTTGATATTGTATCCGAATCATTTTCGCTAACGTTGCCTACAAAAAAGCAAAATGTGAGATCAACAGATCGAACTCATGTTTCATCGCAGGTTGACGTATTTCTCTGACCAACTTTCACGTTATTTGAAAATGTTTGATATTTAATAAAATATTTTATTTACTTTGCAGTTAAATAAAAAGATTCTATATTATTTAAAAAATGCTCGATTAATAATTGAAATGGTTCATATCAGTAGATATACTATTGCTTGTCTTTTAGATATGATTTATTGAAACATCGTCGTCTAAAACTCCTTTCCAGTCGTTGCTTGTGATCTGACATGATTTTATTCAATAATTATTGATCGTGGTTTGTCGGTGGAAAAGTAGCCTCACTGAATGTTAATTCATCTGAAAGAGAAAACATAAATGTATGAAAAAAATATGTCTGCTAATGAAGACGAATCAAGCATTTGAGTAATGTAAACTATCACTTTCATGTCGCCGCAATATGCGACACTTATTCAGCATCAAAAATACCGCTATTGTGATGAATCTCACAAAATCCAACTCCTCTTCTGTGTGCATCTGCCATCGTTGCTAGACCCTTTACATTCTATTTTTCTTTGTTATGACTCTGTTGGCTAAATCTGACGTTCAATTTTTTTTTACTAGGATGGAACACTGAACCATAAGATTGCATGTCCCAAATGGAAGTTTTTATAGAAATGACATCAGTCATCGCTACGCTCCGACCCTGAATTTGTGCTTATGAAAAACTCTAATGATAATCATTTTTTGTTGTCATACGAATTTAGTGAATGTCATCACTTAATTTTTTATCCCCCTGCAACCAACATACTTTTTCTTTCAAAGACTAGAAAGATGCCTAACTTTCTAGCGAGTTACACTGTTTACTTTCTAATAAGAACGACAATGGTAGGTTCAACATTCAATTGGCGTCTGCTATGTTCATTTGCGAGTTTCAAAGAGTCATTTTCAATTTCAGTTTGTTATGAGCCATTTTTTCTCTTGCATTAATCGAAAAGCAATATGGTATTTAGTAAATTTTGAAATGAATAACAATCCGATTCTTGTTAAAATTTTTTGACCATTACATAATTCATGGAAGAAACCGAATATCAGACATGAAACTGCCCTCTACGAATATCCTTAGTAAATGTTTTCAATCTAGAATTCAAAGTCATCTACTGTTTCGATTGAATCCGTAGAAGAAATCAACTAACAAGTGAACATTTTTCTGATGTAATACATGATTACTATTCGCAAACCGAAAACAATCGTCATACTGTCCACTTATACCGATGCCATACTATTAAGAGCAGTATCTTTATATATGTATTTCAGAAAGCAGCGTGTTTCAAGTAATTTTTCTCTGAAAATCAAACATTTTCAGATACCGATGATCGTTTGGTAGATTAGTAAGATAGATATTTTTAAAGCAGCTTGGCGAGTCACAAGAAATTTTGCTGTCATCTACGCAAGATCCATCAGTCAAATCAGCAGAATTCTATGGTAATTGGATTATTCAAGACACTTTTAGATTGTCGTCATCTGACTATGATCAACTTCCTATAACAATTATGAGATCAGTAATTCTGGCAAGAATTCATCAGAACTGGTTTGATATTATCAGATATCTATCGAATCTGCCTGTTAGATTGTACATTCTGGGTAACTGAAAAAAAAAGGAGAAGCATTGAACACAGGAAAACGTCAATCTTTCGGATTAGCAAGCAATCGGCTTATCAGTTTGAAAGCAGATCTGTAAAGTAAATAGAAAATGACAGAAATTTGTGAATACTGATATAATACTTTCTTGAGATCCAACTGAAGCTATGGTCGTCATTTTAGCTTTTTGGATTTGTCATTCAGGAGAGGTCTTGCTTAATTACAATTATGAAACAGACGATGATGCTATGAAAAGAATTTAATCATAAGAATAGATCGATAATGCTTATGAGAAGACTTCCGAAACTGTCGGTTTATATTCGATTTGGAGATGACTAGGAACATTAACACTGTTTTTCTAGAGCAATTAATGACTTACAGAAACTTGAAGATACAAATTTATCTTTTGTGACATTTCATGTGAAACTCTTGAAACAAAAGCAGACATGTTTTCATATCAGTAGATTATATTGCAGGATCAATAACAAAATAGAGTCGTAGAATCAGTAGTAAAAATATGTCCCGAGAAAAAAGTTGTGAATCGCAATATCCGATTCATTACATTTCTAGTGTGTGGGTAAAAGTCTTCATTGAAAAGAAATAGTTTTAGAAAGCAGAAGATGTCAGTCGTGACTATTTCGAATGATGATTCATAATGAAATATCAAATAAATTAATAGAAACTCTAGTTACCATTATCTTTCATGATAATCAAAAATGTTGGTTGAAAAGTGATTTGTACTGCAATATTGTGAAAAATTGAATTGATCTCCTGGATTTGTTCATCTCGACTACTTGACTCTGGTAGATATGACATTACTCGCATCCATCTTTGATTAATCTAGAAAACAAAACGATCACTTTCGAATGCATTACTCAGTTACAAAGGGAAGCTGACTTCTTTTAAATCTTCATCAGTTGAGTGACGGTTGAACTGTTTTTTCGCCTGCTTTTTAATAATATTCTTCAACAAACTTCAGATAATTAGAAACGAAAGATTGAAAATAGATGCGCTTCGGTTTAATCAATTGTTTGTAGGTGATTGCAAATGGAAGAAGCGGTTCATTATGTATGATCGACATTTCTAAACATCAAATATCTCGTGCTTAAAAGCAAGACTTTGTCATAAAAATTAAAAAAAGCTTACTGACCATACGTCTTTATAACGTTACTGATAAATGGAGTGTTGTTGTCATCATCGCTCAAATGAAAACAAGCTTGTGCCAACACATAGTCAAGATTCTTAATGAGGATTTCTTGCCACAGTAACATACACACCTAAGAGATACATGAAGCAATAAAAGAAAGAAAGTATGAAAATCAAACGAACTTCGATGTCGATCCTGCCTTCGTTCTGATTTACTTCTGAAGGTACCTCTGTTGTTCTACATTTATTATGATAAAAACACATCATTTTCAGAAACTTGATTGAAGATTGAAAATTTTCAAAGCAATCCAAATAAAACTCAAGTGCTGCTTTTCGGTGTTCATCATTGTAAACCTACAATGCAAGAAATAAAATGATACCTAGTAGATTTCAAGGAGTCATTTTGAATGTTAAACCAGGCATGTATATCTATCATGACATTTATGTAAATTTTGGTTCTACAATATGTCAGATCAATAAGTAGAAAATGAACTTACTAGGATGAGATTATCGA